CAATAGCATCATATAGTGCCTATAGTTATCAATAATTTATCATCTATTTCAAAACAGCTAGAAGAGATTTGATATATGCTTAAAGAAAAGATAAATGTTTGAGGTGATGGATATCACAGTTGCCTTGATTTGATCATTACACATTGTATGTCTGTATCAAAATATCACATGTACCTCATAAATATGAAACATTATTAGCAATAAAATAAATAATCTGTAAAAAAATCTAATGTTAATCTAAATTGCCACTCATGGAACAAACCCAGACTAGTCATAATATGTTTTTCTTTTTATATATCACAAGATATTATTTGCTAACTTAAAAAGTAAATATGAATATTTGAGTCTATATTCATTGCAAATTTTTCCTATATTTTTCTGTAATATAATGCCATTGCTAGGGATTAGTATCAAAGAGAAGCTTACTTTATAAAATTAGTTGGAAAGTGTTATTTTCTAGTCTCTAGAAGAGATTTTCTAGTTTAGAATGATTTCTTGAAGAGGTGTTTGAAAAATTACCACTAAGGTTGCCCAGAACTAAAATTTATTTATAGAAAAGCTTAAAATTTAAAAATTCTATGTCTTTAATAAACTTAGGACCATTTTAATTTGATATTCTACTTTTATGTTACCATTGGTATGTGGTGATTATCTAAAAATGTGTTCATTTAATCAAAATTTTCAAATTTACTGATATAAATTTATAATAAATATTCGTATTTTAATATCTGTAGGGTATAGAATATTCCACTTTTTCATTCATAATATTAGTAAATTGTATCTTCTCTCTCTATTGTTCCCCCTCATCAGAAGTTTGTCAATTTTATTATTTGTTTTAAACAAATAATCTATTTTAATAAATGTTCCAGGTACACTTAAAAAAATGTAGATTCTTATGCTGCTACAGAAATTTCTATCTTCTTTATTTTTTTTTTCCAGTTTTAGAGAGTTTATTCAAGTGAAAACTAGAAATAGTCATCCAGGAGACAAAGGCTCTAGTGAAATGAGATGAGTGCTTCATAGGTAAAAGTTAAGTTCTTATTTCTACAGGCAAAAAACAAAGTAATTTAACAAGATTACATCATTTTCTATACAAAGCTGGTTTAAGATTTACAAAAAATCAATTGGTTACACTGTATTTTTCCTACTTTTTTTTTTACAACTGTTTTCTTTCCTTTTCAACCTAAGAGTGTCCTTAACATTTCACCTTTTTTAAAAAAATTGTACTTTAAGTTCTGGGGTACATGAGCTGATCTTGTTTCTTAAAGACATAGTTATATCTGTGATGGTTAATATTGAGTGTCAATGTGATTGGATTGAAGGATGCAAAGTATTGCTCCTGGGAGTTTCTGTGAAGGTGTTGCCAAAGGAAACTAACATTTGAGTCAGTGGACTAGGAGAGGCAGACCCACCCTCAACCTGGGAGGGCACAATCTAATCAGCTGCCAGCACAGCCAGAATAAAAGTAGGCACAAGAATGTGAAAAGACTAAATTCGCTTAGCCTCCCAGCCTACATTTTTCTCCCATGCTGGATGCTTCCTGCCCTCGAACATCAGACTCCAAGTTCTTCAGCTATTGGACTCTTGGACCTACATTGGTAGTTTTCCAGGGACTCTCAGGCCTTCAGCTGCACTGTCAGCTTCCTTACTTTTGAGGTTTTGGAAATAGCGCTGGCTTTTTTTTTGTCCTCAGCTTGCAGACAGCCTACTGAGGAACTTCACCTTTTGATTCAGTGAGTCAATACTCCTTAATAAACTCCCTTTCATCTATATATCTATCCTATTAGCCCTGCCCTCTAGAGAACCCTAATACAGATTTTGTTACTGGGAGTGGTTCTAGAGAAATAGAATTTTAAGGATGGAGATTTTTAGTTGGCTATTTCGTATTTTAGCTGGTTTTGGGGTTTCTGGAGTTGCCCACTTAATAAGATAAGACCCAAAGATGCTAAGGACTCTACTTTTAATAGTATGGAGAACACTGGTAGCTCTTGGTGTGAACTGTTTGGAGAGTTAATGCAAAATAAATGTATTTGATACTCCTGATTCATTGCCAGTGAGAGGCAAGGAGTTTAGCAACACTATACATAATACCTTTGACCATATGTGGAGAACCAAGGAATGTAATGAAGTTGGTTGGTTGATCCTGAGTTCACTAGACAATTTGATAAAGCAAAATGAACACAGGGAGTATATAACTCCCAGCTCTAGAAGCACATACTGAGCCTCAAATCTTCTAAGATTGCCCTAAGTGAGAGTCTTACCTCCCGTAGAAAAGAAAACCCTGAAATTGTAGAAAATCAGATGCAAGCTCTTATCATGTGAGTGGTTGATCTGCAACAAAATGTGCATGCCCGGCCTCGCCAGGTATCTATTGTGAAAGTGAGGACATTGATTGGAAAAGAATAAGATTTAAACATAAGACCTAACACTATAAACACCCTAGAAGAAAACTTGGCAATACCATGCAAGACACAGGAATAGGCAAAGACTTCATAACTAAAATACCAAAAGCAATGACAACAAAAGCCAAAATAGACAAATGGGATATAATTAAACTAAAGAGCTTCTGCACAGCAAAAGAAACTATTGTCAGAGTGAACTGGCAACCAACAGAATGGGAAAAATTTTTTGCAATCTACGTATCTGACAAAGTGTTAATATCCAGAATCTACAAAGAACTTAAAGTTACAAGATAAAACCAAACAACTCCATCAAAAAGTGGGCAAAGGATATGGACAGACACCTTTCAAAAGAAGACATTTATGCAGCCAACAAACATATGAAAAAATGCTCATCGTCACTGGCCATTAGAGAAATGCAAATCAAAACCACATTGAGATACAATCTCACACCAGTTAGAATGGCCATCATTAAAAAATCTGGAGACAACAGATGCTGGAAAGGATGTAGAGAAATAGGAATGCTTTTACACTGTTGGTGGGAGTGTAAATTAGTTCGACCATTGTAAAAGACAGTGCGGCAATTCCTTAATGATCTAGAACTAGAAATATCATTTGACCCAAAAATCCCATTGCTGTGTATATACCCAAAGGATATGTATATACTCAAAGGATTATAAATCACTCTATTATAAAGACCCATGCACATGTATGTTCATTGTGGCACTGTTTACAATAGCAAAGACTTGGAACCAACCCAAATGCCCATCCATGATAGACTGGATAAAGAAAATGTGGCACATATACACCATGGAATACTATGCAGCCATAAAAAAGGATGAGTTCATTGTACTTTGGATGAAGCCAGAAACCATCATTCTCAGCAAACTGACTCAAGAACAGAAAACCAAACACCACATGTTCTCACTTATAAGTGGGTGTTGAACAATGAGAACACATGGACACAGGGAGGGGAACATCACACACTGGGGCCTGTTGGGGTTGGGAGAGCTAGGGGTGGAAGAGTTAGGGGAGGGATAGCAGGGGGTGGTGTTACTGGGGAAGGATAACATTAGGAGAAATACCTAACATAGATGATGGGGAGATGGATTCAGCAAACCATCATGGCGTGTGTACACCAAAGTAACAATCCTGAACAATCTGTACATGTGCCCCAGAACTTAAAGTATATATATATATATATATATATATATATATATATATATATATATATAGAAAAGAATGGGACCATGCAACTTAAAATGGGGACACATGGGAGGACCCTGATGAGGCGGAGGCATTGAGTTCCTAACTTCTGATGAACCTTTTTTTTTTTTTTGTCTGAGGAAATTAACCCTGCACTGCCTGAGGTAACGGTGATGGTCTCCCTTGAGGCAGGTGCCAGGCAATACAATACTGATTTTTTTCTTGACCCACCCCCAACAGCCCTGTTTGCTTCTAGACTTATAACTAGGCTCTTGGCAGGCCCCTAGAGGTGAGGTTCAAAGTGTAATCCACATGGAGGTGCTCTACACTCCAAAAGAACTGTTTGATTTTTCTAATTTATTTAAGCAGAAATCTGGAGCACAGGCATGAGAATGGACATCAGGGTGGAGGATAATGGTAGAAGGAACGTAAAGTTGAAACAGGCTGAATTTATTGATTTAGGCCCACTAAGAGGGATTCTGCATTTAATGTTGCAGCTTGGGAGTTAAAAAAAGGTTCTAAAGGTTTATTTGCTTGGTTAGCTGAAATACGGATTAAAAGACGTCCCACTGTGAGTGAGCTGAAAATGGCTGATCTCTCTTGGTTTAATGATAGACAGGACAGGGAAAATGTGGCACATATACACCATGGAATACTATGCAGCCATAAAATACGATGAGTTCGTGTCCTTTGTAGGGACATGGATGAACCTGAAAACCATAATTCTCAGCAAACTGACACAAGAACAGAAAATCAAACACTGCATGTTCTCACTCATAGGAAGGTGTTTAACAATGAGAACATATGGACACAAGGAGGGGAGCATCACACACTGGGTTCTGTTGGGGGGAACTAGGGGAGGGACAGCAGAGGGTAGGGAGTTGTGGAGGGATAACATGGGGAGAAATGCCAGATGTAGGTGATGGGGGGATGGAGACAGCAAACCACATTGCCATGTATGTACCCATGCAACAATCCTGCATGTTCTTCTCATGTACCCCAAAACCTAAAGCGTAATTATATATGTGTGTGTGTGTGTATATATATATATATATAAAGAAATGACAATTTTGTCCTCAAGCAACCGTTCATATAGTATCCAATTTATATTATGAAAATTCACAATAGTAGAAAGCCTGTATATATTTTATTTCATAAGTAGGCAAAGGGAAATATATGAAACATTACATAATTAATGTTGTCTGGTGGAGTAAAAATACATAATTTAAGGATACACATTAATTGGCATGTAGATTCAGTAGAATGAACTTACTAAGTTGAGAAAGACTAGTCATTCTTTAAATTTCCTGTTGTTGTTTTAACAGAACTGTACAGCTGAAATATTTTAATTCTTAGATTGTGTTCTACTGTATCCAAACATAAATCTGTACTTACCAACCACTTTGTTTAAATCAAATTGAATTATTAGGTCACTAATTGATGGATACACTGCTGAAGGATTTTCTGCTGTATCTGGAAGTTCTGAGGCTCCTTCATTTTTAACTGTAATAATAATAGAGTGCCAAAGTAGTTGATTTAAAAAACCAACATTTTGTGAAACACCTAGGAATGCATGTAACCAAGAAGGTGAATGCTCTCTACAAGGAGAACTACAAATACACTGCCAAAAGAAATTAGAAATGGCACAAATAAATGAAAAAACAGTCCATGCTCATGAATTGAAAGAGTCAGTATCATTAAAGTGGTGACACTGCCCAAAGCAATTTACAGGTTCAGGGGATTCCTATCAAACTACCAATGTCATTTTTAACAGAATTCAGGGAAACTATTCTAAAATGCAGAGAATAAAAAAGAACCCTAATAGCCAAATCAATTCAAAGCAAAAAGAACAAATGTAACGGCATCATACTACCTGACTTGAAACTGCATTACAGGGCTGAAAGAGCATTGTACTGGGACAAAAACGGACACAAAGACCAATTGAACAGAATAGAGAACTCAGAAATAAAGCCACATAACTACAATCATCTGATCTTTGACAAACCCAGAAAAAATAAGCAATAAGGACTCCCTACTCAATAAATGATGCTGGAATAGCCATATGCAGAAGAATGACATTGAACCCTTGCTTTTTACCATATACAAAAATTAAATCAAGATGGATTAAATATTTATTTGTAAGACTTCAAACCACCACAAGCCTAGAAGAAAACCTAGTAAATACCCTTCTCAATATCAGCCTTGGCAAAGAATGTATGGCTAACTCTTCAAAAGCAATTACAACAAAAACAAAAATTGACAAATGGAATCTAGTTAAAAACTATCTCCAAAACTATTGGAGACAGTGTTTTCCTCCCCTTCCCACAAAACAAAACAAAACAAAAAAAACTATCAACAGAGTAAACAGACAACCTATAGAATAAGAGAAAATATTCACAAAGTATGCATCTAACAAAGGTCTAGAATCTATAAGGAACTTAAACCAACAAGCAAAAAAATAACTCCATTGTAAAAATAAGGCAAAGGACAAAAACAGAAACTTCTCTAAAGAAGACAAACGAGTGGCTAAGAAACATGAAAAAATGCTCCACTTCACTAATCATCAGAGAAATGCAATTTAAAACCACAATGAGATACCATCTCACAGCAGTCAGAATGGCTACAATTATTATTATTATTATTATTGTTATTTTGACATGGAATCTCACTCTGTTGCCCAGGCTGGAGTGCAGTGGTGTGATCTTGGCTCACTGCAACCTTCACCTCCTGGGTTCAAGTGATTCTCCTGCCTCAGCCTCCAGAGTAGCTGGGATTATAGGTGCATGCCACCATGCCCAGCTAATTTTTTTGTATTTTTAGTAGAGACGGGGTTTCATTATGTTGGCCAGGCTGGTTTCCAACTCCTGATTTCAAGTGATCCACCCATCTTGGCCTCTCAAAGTTCTGGGATTTCAGGCATGAGCCACTATGCCTGGCCCAGAATGGCTATAATAAAAAAATAAAAAATAAAAAAACCAGATGGTAAGTCTGTGAAGAAAAGGGGACATGTACACACTGTTGGTGGGAACATAAATTAGTCTAAACACTTGGAGAGCAGTTTGGAGATTTCTCAAAGAACCAAAAGTTGAAATACAATTTGGCTCAACAATCCCATTCCTGGCTACATATCCAAAGGAAAATAAATTGTTCTACCAAATGGACACATGCATCCCATATGTTCACTACAGTGCCAGTCATAATAGCAAAGATATGAAATCAACGTAGGTGCTCATCAATGGTGAATTGAATATAGAAAATGTGGTACATATATACCATGGAATAATATACAGCCATAAAAAAGAACAAACTCATGTATTTTGCAGCAACATGGATATAGTCAGAGGTCATTATCCTAAGAAAGCTAATGCAAAAACAGGAAACCAAATACTGCATCTCTTCCCTTACATGTAGTAGATAAACACTGGGTATACGCAGATATAAAGATGGGAACTATAGACACCATGGAATACTAGAAGAGGGAGGAAGAAGGGATAAAATGACTTCTTGGGTATTATGCTATCTGGGTGATGGGTTCAGTCATATCCCAGAACTCAGCATCACACAATATACTTTTGTAACAAATCTGCATAGGTACCCCTGCTTCTATGATAGAAACTGAAAAAGTAAAAAAGTACATACAGTAAAAAACAACAAAAAACCCTAACATTTTGTTTGAGGCAGAAGTATAGTACATAGTACTAATTATTTTATCTCTCAATGATCTAACCTTATTTACTTTACAATTTAACATATGAATTATTCAATTGAATACAAATATGTTAAATAATTTTAAATTCTTACAAAATAGCTACTATATGCCATCTATTATACTAAGTACATTTATTATCTCATTTAATCATCATAGTAATTGATGAAAATAAGTATTTTATCTCCATTTAACAGATGAGGGAAATAGAACTTATTGATATTATGCATTCTGTGGAAAGTCACAGAGTTACTAAATATAAAACTTAGAATGAATTAGTTCTTTTAGTTGCCAAAATCTGTTCCCCAATTAATAAACTCAAATGTCTACTGACACTGAGTGTGTAATGTGAATGAAATGGGCATAGTGATGATAGGGGTGGCCTACAGGGCAAGGTGAAATGAAAAGTGCCTGTTTTATTTTAAAAACCTATTATTCTCACCACTACAACAGTATGACAGATATTCTCAGGTGTTTTAAATTCCCCAAAGAAGCTAGGAATCTAGATATTTACAATAATCTTCAAAATTTTTAAATGTTTGCAGATAGTTTAAGACTTATATACTCATGTTTGAAGGACAAATCTTCAGCTAGTACCACAAGAAAATTATCCATCTTTAGAAAAGGATTAATTGTAACATGTGGGTGAAATTTAAGGGCCAATAACTGATATTAATTGGAATGATACCTTGGAAATACTTTGGAAAACATAATCATTTACCCATCAATGTATCTCTCTATGATCTAGGACCATGGAAAAGCCATTTTGGATTATATAGTATATATGTTTATTCCTCACCAAATCACTTCTGAGATCTACAGCATTATGTTTTTTTTCTAAAAACAGAGAGTTATTATAGGTATTTAAACTGTGTTCTTAGTAATCTCCAAAGTACTCAGAGAGTCATACAGCAATCTTGGAAATTCTCTGGTTATTGTTTATTTTTAAATCCATAAGAAGACAGCAGAATAAAGCTTCCCTTTGCCCTCATTTTTCCTATAAAAGCCCCAGAAACAAAGAAAAAAAGTAAGCAAATTTCCATAGACCCCGATACTAAAAGTACTGTCATGAAATCTGGCAGGAGGCTTTGGAGAATACTAAAAGATAAGAGTCATGCTTTCTTGAACTTACAACAGTACACAGGTTTTCCTCCAAAGTGTCATCACTGAAAGGTATGCCTAATATGCTTTGTTGGTGTTAATCATAATCACATTTAGAGTTCTAAGAAAGAAGAGTTGAAGAAGAAACCACAATGATGAACCATTTCTATTGCTTGAGATAGATTCCTAATAGAATTTAGGGACGCTGACAGTAAAAATGGAATAAAAAAAAAAAAGGAGGAAGATAGTGCCAAATTGAAACAGATAAAAGACACATATGTGAATTGCAATCGTTTCTTTAACAAAATAAACAAAAACAAACAAAAAGCAAGATTTAATAATATGACAGCAAGCCTAGACAGAATCTATCAATTTTCCCACAAAATCTCATCCTCCGTCAATCTACCACACATATACATTCCACTAACCACTTTATTTTTAGAAGATCTCGTTTAAAAATTAATAATAATTTAACCAGCATGAGAAACAAGCACAGAAATTGCAACAATCACAAAGAAACCTAAAAGATAAATAACTAGGGAAGGCACAGAGTGATATGAGCAAGATGGAAGAATAGAAGATCTCTTAGCATCACTTCCCCTAGAAAAAAATACAACTAGAAGTTATTCAAAGACAAGACTGCCACCCTGAATTCACGAAAACTCAAGGGAGAAGTGCAGAAGCTTCCTGGACACACAGAATCAAGAAAAGCTGATACTGGTAAGAGGAATAATCTACACTTTAAAGGATGTCACCCCTTCCTGCAAACAGGGATAACACCACTCAAAGAATTTCCCTAGCATATAGTTCCCAGGATGGGAGGAGGAAATGGAGGTGAATGCTCAGTCTCCAAACTGGTTTTAGCATCTTCACAGGAAGCTCACTCCAGTACCTGTCCCAGGGAACATTTAAAGTGCAGGGAGGACTGAACAACCTGGTCCAATGAATTGTGGTCAAAAAGGGATGGTTCTAATTGCATTGACTGACATGTGAATTTTTGTAGCTGTTCTGTGCTCCAATCAGTGAAGATACCACATTGAGTAAAGTGGGTGGCATATAGTACTGAAAAAGACACAATCCACAGGAAGGACAAAATTCCTGGCTGGATTCCCTACAAAGTCCACATACTCATGGCGAGCCTTCTCCTGACCTGGAAACAACTACATATTTGGAAATTAAGTTCTGGTGCTCACTTAAAAAAAAACTATTTTTATTAATAGATTTTGTAATTGATTGAAGAACAACAGCAGGGCAGCAACATAGCTCTGGTGCAGTGTTTAAGTTACAGGGCTTACTGTAAGTCTTCCATAGACTTGAAAACAATAGAGCAGTGATTTATTTCCAGTGCAGCATTTAATTTCCGGTTTTCACTTGCTTCTGAGTTTCCCCAGACTCAGAAGCAAGAGCAGACCAGTGATTAACTTCTAATATTAAGTAGTAAAGACCTAACACCATCAAAACGACCTGCGAGAGCTCAATGTGCAGGCATCAATATAAAAAAATGCAAGAATTGTAAAAACTCAGGAAAATATGACACCACCACAAAAGACTAAAAAAAACCCTTCATAATGGACTCAGAAAAACTAAAGATCTATAAAATGACTGAAAAATAATTCAGAATAATCTTGTTTTAAAAGTTAAAGAAATTACAAAAGAAATACAGATAGAAAACTAGATGAAATTTGGAAAACAATTC